GTTGCACAACTAACAGCCTACATATAACAACCACTGAACTGTATACTGGTTAAGGGTTATGATGGTAAACTTAATGCTCTGTGCTTTTTACGATAATTAAAGTTTTTTGAGGGAGAAATTTGGGGTTAAGAACCCTGGGGCTTTTGAGAACCTCCTGCCTTGAAGGGGAAGCTCTGGGCTCGATAAGTACAAAGTGCAGGTGGTCTGAGGGTTCATTTCCTGTTTCCAATCAGCCTGCTTCAGCCTCGGGCAGTTACTCTTGGGGCCTTTGAGATGGGGGTGGAGGTCCAAAGCTCCAGTGATTCTGGAGAGTAGAGAGGCCAAGGTGGGTTAGGGCTCACCTGGATAATCCACCATAACCTTCCCATCAATATCTTTAATGGAATCACATCAGCAAAGTCCCGTCTTTGTAAGGTAACATTCACAGGTTCCAGGGATTACAACAGTGATGTCTTAGTGGGTAATCATTCAGCCTACCATACTGTCTATCTCCTGTTCATCAGATCTTGGGGGTTCTCCCCTCACAGTGGCCTCCTGTGTGGGAAGAGCATATTTCAATGTCCTTAATAAGGTCCTACTTCAAAGGGCTTCACAGGTGGGTACCACGCCAGCTCCGCCCAGTTTCTTCCGTTTCTAGAGAAGCTGCGGCAGCCTGTATTTGGCGCCATCTGGTGGACACAGCGTGCCACAGCAGGTGTGCGTCCAATAGAAATACAGTACAAGCCAGGTATGTAATTTTTCATTTTTTAATAGCCATATTGAAAAAGAGGTGAAAATTATTTCAATAGTATAGCTTATCTAACCCAAGGTATCTAAAACACACTCATTTTGACATGTAATCCACAACAAAAATAACGAGTACTTTCAAATCTTTGTTTCATACTAAGCCTTCGAAGTCTGGCGGGTATTTGACACTTAACAGCACCTCTCAGTTCACACCAGCCACATTTCAAGTGCTCAGAAGTCACACGTAGCGGTTGAATGCCATATTGGACAGCACAGAGCTAGAGGAAGATTGAGGGGCAGAGAGAGGGATGAGTGGAGGGCAGGTAGGGGGAGGGAACTCTGAGAAGGGATACAGCCTGGGGGAGGGGTTGGCCTGGCCATAAAGGCCAAGAGGCAGTGGCATTAACATGTCCACGTGTGTGCACACACGAGATGGGCCTTTGCACGCCTCGCATACACGCATTCAAGATGCAACAGAACCACAAATGTGATCTCCCCCCAGAATCACCCTCCTCTGTGTCCCAGTCCCCCAGTCCCGAGGATTAAACTCCTCCCCACCCCAGCCCTGCCCATCGGTCTCCTGAGCCTCCCTCCCCCCGGGTTTCTCCTCCCTTCCCCACAGCCCTGCCTGGTCCAGCCCCATCCTAGCCCACCAGGGTCCTCTACTGACCAACACTGTAGCTTTTTGAAATATAATTCACACATCATAAAATTCACCCTTTTAGACTTCCCTGGCCGTCCAGTGGTTAAGATTCCGCTCGTCTAATGCAGGGGTTGCAGGTTGGATCCCTGGTCAGAGAAATAAGATCCCACATGCCACGTGGCATGGTCAAAAAAAAAAATTATAAAAAAATAAATAAGATAAAATTCACCCTTTTAAAGTATAGAATTCAGTGGTTATAGTGTATTCATGTTGGACAACCATCACTGTAACTAACTCCAGAACATTTTCATCATCTCAAAATAAAACCTTGTGCCCATTAAGCAACATTCCTCATTCTCCCCTCCTCTCCGCCCCTGGCAGCCACTAAGCTACTTTCTCTATGGAGTTGCCTCTTTTGGCTATTTTGTATAAATGAAATCATACCATATGTGGCCTTGTATCTGGCTTCCTTAGTGTAGCATAATGTTTTCAAGGTTCATCCATAATGTGGTGTGTATCAGTCCTTCATTCCTTTTAATGGCTGAATAATGTACAATTGTATGGATACATGACATGTTGCTTACCCATTCATCCTTGCCTTTGCCTTAGGAGACAAATCCAAAAAAATTATTGCTGTGATTTATATCAAAAAGTGTTCTGCCTATGTTTTCTTCTAGGTGTTTTTGACTTCAGATCTTACACTTAGGTCTTTAATCCATTTTGAGTTTACTTTTGTGTATAGTGTTAGAAAATGTCCTAATTTTATTCATTTACATGAGTTGTCCAGTTTTCCCATTTACTGAAGAGACTGTCTTTTCCCCTTTGTATATTCTTGCCCTTTGTATATTAATTTTTAAAATTAATTATTTATTTTGGCTGCACCAGGTCTTAGTTGCAGCACGTGGGATCTTCCTCGTGGCATGTGGGATCTTTTTTTTTTTTTTAATTGCGGCACGCAGACTTCTTAATTGTGGCATGCATGCGAGATCTAGTTCGCCGACCAGGGATCGAACCAGGGTCCCTTGCATTGGGAGCACAGAGTCTTACCCACTGGACCACCACGGAAGTCCCCGTCATACATTATCCCCGCAGACTGCAGATTCATGTGCAAAATACATGCTGTCATTGCTTAAAATAACTGAGTTTGGGGGTTGTTTGTTATGCAGCAGTAGATAGCTGCAGCAATGCTCATCCTGCTGGTCCATGGACTGCACTTTGAGTAGCAAGAAGCTAGATCACTAGACCTTCTAGGACTTTTGCATGTGCAATTTTCCTTCTTGTTACTCTTTTCCCATTCTCTTTCTCTGCTTGGCTCATATTTACTTATTCCTTAGGTTCTTTTCCAAGAACACTTTCCTGATGTTTCAGGCTGGGCCTCTTGCCTTATCTGAATCCTCTCCCCTCCTGCTCCATGCTCCCCGGTGAGGAAAAATGTACGCTTACATTTTTGCAATTCTTCTTCAAAACACTTTCTATTTGGGAGTGAGGATATTCCCAGAGAAGTGAGATGTTGGCAGATGGGGGAGTCCGTGCTCCCCCATCCCGGCCCTGATCATCTTAGCTGTCTCTGTGTGTTAAGGGGTCCCCCCACCTTGCTGGGCTGGGAGCTCCAGAGGGCAGACTTGGTGCTGACTTGATCATTACTGGATGTAGCTCAGTAAGTTGGCATTGAGAAGGACAGTACTGGGGAGGGGGAGCTGACCACATTCACCCAAGCTTCCCTGAGTGTTTGACTGAGGTGATTCCCCCATAGATGTCACCTCTGTGGCCCAGGGCATGGCCCAGAGCAACTCCCACCCAGACATCAGGGGCCACCCACCATGCCGTTCTTGAACAGTAAGCATTCCCTCCCAAGTCGCCCCCTCCAGCCTCCCGTCTGTGCCTCCCTCCCTCCCGGTCTCTTTCTCCCCAAGAGGCAGAGTACCTTGGCATTTGTGAAGCATGGCCCAGACCCTGTGGCCATGGAGCCCCACCTCCCCAGCCCTGGTGACCCCCACGGACTCGATGTAGCTGCCAAGAGACCAGGACTGCCCCCAGCCTCTTTCTAGAGTGCCCAGTGTCGGAGAGGGGGCTCTGCTTTATCTTTCCCCTTCCCTGGGTATTGGGGTCTGACTTCCAGCATTCTCCCCAGCACCACGCCCTACAGGAGAACTCCCAGCGGCTGCAGACCTGGCTAAGGTAGGCAAAGGAGGACCAGTTTGAGGATGGAGCCCAAACCCCCAAACCCCTCGAGTCTTGGGTGACTCCAGTGCACAAAAAGAAGCAGAGTATTTTTAATTTTTATTTTATTTATTTATTTTTGTCTGTGTTGGGTCTTCGTTGCAGTGTGCGGGCTTCTCACTGAAGTGGCTTCTCTTGTTCTAGGCGCGCGGGCTTCAGTAGTTGTGGCTCGCGGGCTCTAGAGTAGAAGCAGGTTTTTCTGAAGACAGAAATCCCCACGGACAGGAATTCAGCACCTGCCAGCATCTCACTTCTCTGGGAATATCCTCACTCCCAACCAGACAATTGTTTTGAAGAATCGAAGAAACGCAAGCGTGTATTTTTCCTCACTGGGAGTAATGGTTTTATGAAGAATGTCCAACTGTCTTCCCAGAAGAGCTGTCTCTCCTCAGGCTGGAGCGCTCCACCTGCTGTCTTGGGCATCTTTTCTACAAATGTGGACCTGGGCAGGAGTTATATTTGCAGCCCTGCTTCTATCTGCCTGTCTCCTGAAGGTGGCGCTGTAACACAATTGCAACGCGTCTGGGAATATCGAGGAAACCTCGCCGCTCATCTGCTGACACCCACATCCTTTTTCAAACGTCTGAAATAGTGCAGTGCAAGAGAAATACAGTGGGAGCTACTTATGTAACTTTAAGCTTTCTAGCAGTCATATTTTAAGATGTAAAAAGAAATAGATGAATAAGCACAGGAAAAGATGCTCAACATCATTAGTCATTAGGGAAATGCAAATCAAAAACACAATGAGGTATCACCTCACAGACATTAGGATGGCTATCATGAAAAAAGGAAAAAGAAAAAAAAAAGAAAATAACGTGTTGGCGAGGAGGTGGAAAGTTGGAACTCTTGTGCACTGTTGGTGGGAATGACAAATGGTACAGCCAACAGTATGGCACTTCCTCAAATAATTACACAGAGACTTACCATACAATCCAGGAATTCCACTTCTGGGGTACATACCCCAAAGAATTGAAAGCAGAGACTTGGACAGATATTTGTACGCCCTTGTTCAGAGCAATGTATTTCACCACAGCCAAAAAAGGTAGAAACAACCCAAGGGCCCATCGACAAACAAAATGTGGTTGTACATACCACATGTATGGAATATTATTCAGGCTTAAAAAGGAAGGAAATTCTGATACACACTGCAACATGGATGAACCCTGAGGACATTATGCTAAGTGACATAGGCCAGTCACGAAAAGACAAATACTATGTGATTCCACTTACATGAAGTCCCTAGAGTAGGCAAATTCATAGAGACACAAAGTAGAAGGGTGGTTGCCAGGGGCTGGGGGAGGGGGAATGGGGACTTGTTGTTTAAGGGGTACAGTTTCCGTTTTGCAAGATGAAAACACATTCACACAACAACGTGAATATATTTCACACTACTGAATTGTACACTTAAAAATAGTCAAAATGGTAACTTTTATGTTATATGTATTTTACCACAGTAAGAGTTTACAAACAGGTGAAATTAGCTTTAGTCACATTTTTATTTATCCCAGAATATTATCATTTCAAATATTATCATTTCAAAATGTAATTAATTTTTACGATTATTGAAATGTTGTCTATTCTTTTTATCACACCCAACTTGGAAATTCAGCGTGTATTTTACACGTACAGCACACCTCAGTCAGACCTAGCCACTTTTCAAGCACTTAATAGCCATCTGCACACATCTCCATCATATTTGCAAAGACCCACGCCTCCCCTGCAACACACCTGCAGCACATCTGCAAATACACCTAGAGTTTCTCTGCAAGCCTCCCACATCCCGGGCAAACATGCCCGCAGCTCAGCGGCCCACCCCTCAATCTAATCTCCGACATTTTCAGAGAAAGCACTTGCTCAAGGAGCGCGTGCCAATGCCAAATCGACGTTTGCAGGTTGATTTGACCTGCAAATCTCCCCATCTTCTTGGCATAAATTTGCATACTATTCATGGGTCTAAAAGCACAGCAGCAGGGCCTCAGATAGTCATTTCAAAGTCGGGGAGGCGGTGACCTGGGGCTGGACCGCAGGCCCCCTCCTGCTTCCCTTCCAGCTCTCTGTCCTCCTCCTCTTCCAGGAAGGTGATCAGTTCCTCCTGAAGTGCCCCCATCTCCAAGCCCAGGCTGCATAGCTGGCCCAGCAGCTGGACATCCACTAGGCGGAGGTTCACCTGCGGGTGGGAAGGGGGAGTCATGGGCATCCCATCCCAGAGGGCAAGGGGTTAGTGTGCCTCTGCCATGAAACCTGCGTGGGAGCAGGTCTCAGCTCAAGTCCCAGAAAAGATTCTTTTCCTGACCAAACTTTACTCAGGATCCTGAACCTTTTCCTAGGCCCATCAGCACTTCTTTGTAAAATCCAGTTTTAGCAAGAATCCCCCCCCTCCTTATTTGATCGGGTTCCTCACCCTCCACCCTCCCCCAGGTGATGGCGGCTCACCCTGACCTGCCTTCAGCAAGAATCCTGCTAGACAGGTTGAGCCAGAATCCCCCCTATACCCCTGATGTTTCCTCCTTGGAATTTTCTACCCCCTGACCCCTCTCCTGCTCCTTGGCCGTAAATTCCCCCTTGCCCATGCTGTATTCAGAGCTGAGCCCAATCTCTCTCCTCTACTGCAAAATCCCCATCACAGCAGTCTTCATACCTAGAGCCTTGCCATCTTTAACAGGTGTCATAAATTACTTTCTCTTTAACAGTCCTGGCCCACAGCACCGCAGGTGGGGTCCTCACTGTGTCCCTGGACTCTGCCATCCTGCTTCTGTCTCTGATCTCTGCCCTGTCTCCCTTTGTCTTGGTCTCTCCATTTCATTGTCCCTCGCTGTCTCCATCTCTCTCGTTCTTTCTCTGTGTCTTGAGCCTTAGTCTCTTTGTCTCTCTTATTGGGTCTCCCTCTCTTGTGATCTGTCTCCATCTCTCTGTCTCTACTTGGCTGTCTCTGTCTGTCTCTGTCCTTCCATATCCCTGTCTTTCTGTCTGTCTCTATTTCTCTGCCCCTGCCTTGGACTGTCTCCACCTCTCTGTCTTTCAGATTTAATGAGTCTGTCCTCGTTGCGGCTCTCAATCTCTGCTTTCCATCTCTCGTCTCTTTCGGGATCTCTCTGTCTCTGCCTCTCTCTAGTCCTGTCTCTCACTCTTTGTGTCTTTCTGTGTCTCTGTCTGTGTCCATCGTTCTCTGGGTGTGTCTGTGTCTGCCTCTGCCTCTATTTCTCTATTCCTGTCTCTGACTTTCTGTCTTTCAGTCTCTGGCCCTTTTTACTTACATTCATTCCTATTCATTTATCCACTCCCCCCACCCCATCTCTTACCCCTCCAAACCCCTCACTCACCAGCTCCTTCCAGAGCCACAGCAGACTCTCCCTGGCACCTCCAGTGTCAGCCCCTGGGAACATGAGGGTCTGATCCACCCTCTTCACTGGGGGCACCACCCTCAGGGCCCGCGGGGGTGGGCCCAGCCCTGGGGGCACCAGTCCAGCCTGCCTCAGCTGCTTCCACAGCTCCATAGTCTCTGAGCAGTGGCAGCCAGGAGCAGGAAGTAGCAAGGTCCAGAGTGACCCAGTCCCCTGGGGAGCCGGGGGCTGGGTGGGGGGAGTAAAGGGCAGTGGCGGGTAGGAGAGGGCCAGCCCCACCCCCTCGGGCCACCCAAAGTCCATTCTCCACTGAGAATCAGCAGCTTCGTGTGTTTTTGTTTTGTTTTCATCAAAGTCTAACCTTAACTCTGCTCACAAGGATCCAACCTCAGCCCCTCTGGCGGAGGTCAAACTCCACCTCTCCCGGCCTCTTCTCAGGCCTGACCCCTCCCCAGTGTGTGGATGCCCGGCCTCACCTCGTCCCGCCCCCTCCTGGGTCCCACCCACTCCTCCTCCCCAGCCTCCCCTGCAGCCCTCTTCTCCGCTTGATCTCTGGCTTTCCCTGGCTTGGTCCTTGCCAGTCTTCTCCACTCGGGCCCTCCCAGGGCTTCCCAGACAATGTGCCTGAGGAGCCAGGAGTGGCTTCCGAGAAAACAATCCCTTGGCCAGGGTGCCTCGGTGTCCAGGCTGTTGGCCCACAGCTGAGCAGCCAGTTCTGCCGACCCTAGACTTGCCCAGAGACATTATCACTAGCAGCTTGGGCCCCGTCATGGAGAAGGTGGGGAGGCACTGCGGGCCTCCCTCCGCTAGAACCCCTCTTGCAGGGGTGTTAAAATTCCACCTATACGCCAATGGCTCCCAAGTCTCCCAAGTCTCTGACTCCAGTCCTGACCTCCAGACCACTACTCAGCATCTCCTGCTGGACGTCTCAGGCATCTCAGGGTGAATGTGGTCAAAACAGAGCTCTCAGCTGGGATCTACCCCACTGTATTAGTTTCCTATTGCTGTTGTAACAAGTGACCACAAACTTAGTGGCTTAAAACCACACAGACTTATTATCTTACAGTTCTAGAGGTCAGAAGTCTAAAGTGTGTCCACAGGTCTGGGTTCCTTCTGGAGGCTGTGGGGGAGAATCCATTTCCTAGCCTTTCCCAGTTTCCAGAAGCCACCTGCATTCATTGGCTCATACGCCCTTCCCTGCATCGTTCCAACCTCTTGCACCTGTCATCACGTCCTCTACTTACTGACTTTCCTGCCTCCATCTAAATAGGACTCTGGGACTTCCCTGGAGGTCCAGTGGCTAAGACCCTGCACTCCCAGCGCAGAGGGCCCGGGGTTCGATCCCAGGTTGGGCAACTAAGAGTTCGCACGCCGCAACTAAAGATCCTGAATGCTGCAGCTAAGACCTGGCGCAGACAAATAAATAAATAAATATTTTAAAATAAATAAATATATAAATAAATAGGACTCTTGTGGGACTTCCCTGGCAGTCCACTGGTTAAGACTCTGCACTTCCACTTCAGGGGTCACAGGTTCGATCCCTGGTCGGGAAACTAAGATTCCCACATGCTGTGCAGCATGGCCAAAAAAAAAAAAAAAAAGTAAAATAGAACCCTTGGGACTTCCCTGGTGGTGCAGTGGTTAAGAATCCGCCTGCCAATGTAGGGGACATTGGTTCGAGCCTTGGTCTGGGAAGATCCTACATGCCGCGAAGCAACTAAACCCGCGAGCCACAACTACTGAAGCCCGCGCGCCTAGAGCCTGTGCTTCTCAACAAAGAGAAACCACTGCAATGAGAAGCTTGTGCACCGCAACGAAGAGTAGCCCCTGCTCGCTGCAACTAGAGAAAGCCCGCGTGCAGCAACGAAGCCCCAACGCAGCCAAAAATAAATAAATAAATATAAATACATTTATAAAGAAAAAGAAATAGAACTCTTGTGATTACATTGGGCCTGTCGGGATTATCCAGGATAATCTCCCCATCTCAAGATTCTTAATCACATCTTCCCTTTACCATACAATGTAACATATTCACGAGTTCCAGGAGTCAGGATGTGGACATTTGGGGGGCGGGGGAACTATTCAGCCTACCACACCTACCCTTCCATACCTGCTACTTTCCCAGTTTCCCCCTCTCCAAAAATGGCATCGCTATCCTTTTAGTTTCTCGAACTATTGGCTCTGTCTTCAAAACAGACTCATAGGGGCTTCCCTGGTGGCGCAGTGGTTGAGAGTCTGCCTGCCGATGCAGGGGACATGGGTTTGTGCCCCGGTCCGTGAAGATCCCACATGCCGCGGAGCAGCTGGGTCCGTAAGCCATGGCCGCTGAGCCTGCGCGTTCGGAGCCTGTGCTCCGCAACGGGAGAGGCCACGTCAGTGAGAGGCCCGCGTACCGTAAAAAAAAAAAAAAAAAAAAGACTCATAATCTGAGCACTTAGCACTTCCACTGCCCAGTCCCTGCTGCTGCCCCCCATTCATCTCTTGTCTGGACGATTGCAGTAGCCTCTTTGCTGGCTCCGTTCTTCCCCCCTTGCTCTCTAAGGTCTGTTCTCCACCTGGCAGAAATGATCTTTACAAAATGTAAATCAGATCGTGGCATGCCCCGGCGAATGGAATAAAGCAGTTTCTTGCTAACCTCTCTGACCCAGTCTCCCACCTCTCTCTCTGCAAGCTGGGCCCACCTCTGGGCCTTTGCACTGGCTGTACCTCTCTGCCTGAAACACTTTTCCCCCAGATTTTTGTTTTTGTTTTTGTTTTTGCGGTACGCGGGCCTCTCACTACTGCAGCCTCTCCCGCTGCGGAGCACAGACTCCGGACGCGCAGGCCCAGCGTCCATGGCTCACGGGCCCAGCTGCTTGGTGGTACGTGGGATCCTCCCAGACCGGGGCACGAACCCGCGTCCCCTGCATCGGCAGGCGGACTCTCAACCACTGCGCCGCCAGGGAAGCCCTCCCCCAGATCTTTGAATGGCTGTTTCCTTGTTATCCTTCACCTCCACTTAAATGTCACCACTTCACAGAGGTCTTTGCTGATGGCCCTGTGCCCCAGTCACTCCCTGTTATATTGCCTGTTTTTATTTGCCTCTTATCAAACACTGTCTGAAATTATCTTGCTTATTCATGTGTTTCTTATCTAGCCTCTTCCTGCCTGGAATGTCGACTCCCTGAGAAAGAGTCTTGGTCCCATGGCAACCTCACTACTGCAACAGTGCCTGCCACGTGGTAGGACTCAGTAAATATTTGTAGAAGGAATGAATGAGTTATTCTATCCACAAGACTTCATATTGAATTTTCACATTAAGATGTAGCCTGGAACTCCAAACTGAAATTGCCAACACATCACAATACTAGTCTTGAGATCTCACCTCTATCCTTTACCCTGAGGTCTAACCTCACCATCTACTGGACGCTTCCCTTCCCTGACCCTGCTTTAAAGAAGAGGCGGACAGTTTCTCAACGCATCATTCCCTGTTCTAAGGAGGTAGCAAGTTAGAGGTAGAAGAACAGGGAACCTCAGGCGGACTAAGAGTGCAGTCGGAGGGAAGGATGGTATTCCGACAGGAAGAACTGCCCACGCTCTCCTAGGGAAAGGCTGCCGAGTCCCATTTTAAGGCCCATGGCAGAGGGAGCTCTAAGCGATCCCTAAACCCGAGAAGAGTAATAAGTGTGTGCTCCTTTACGAGGAGGGCTGGAAAAATGGAGGGGGCGTGGCCATAAGAGAAGACGCCCAACCCTGAACCGGGTGGGTTACGTAAGAAAAGACCAGCCCCTTCCGGTTACGTAATCCTAGCGAGATGGCGGCCCCCGGGGCGGTAAGTGAACGGAGCTTCTGGAGGCCCCCAATTAGTGTCCGCTCTGCTTTCAGGGCCTCTGTCGGCACCCAAGGACCAAGTAGCGAGGGGGAGCAGGGGGCCTCTCCCGCTAGGCCTCGAGCTGGGCGCGGAGACGTGTAGCCGTCGGGGGGCGGGAAGGATCGGTGAGGCTCACAGGCCGCAGAGGAGAGAAACCAGTGGCAACCAATGGGGAAGCAGCGCGTGCGGTCCGAGAAAGCGCGCCCAGCCAATCAGAGGGAGGGATCCGACTGCGAGCTCCTGGAGCCGAGGGGCTGGCGAGAGTGGGACCTGCAAGGGTTGAGGGTTTGGGAGGGATTGGCAGAGAAACTGGGATTTGAGGTGCAAGGGTAGGGAACCAAAGGTGAGGGAAACTCGTGGGAGAGTTAGAAATTTTGATGGAAAATCAAAGGGATGATGGGGGGTGGGGGCAGGATCCAAGAGGTGAATTTGGGAATTCTAAGGGAAGGACCTAGGGGAAATTAAGGGGAGGATTTGCCATATTGTGGAGAGAATTTAGAAGGAATTGGGCAAAATCAAGGAATGGGCCTAGGAAAACTTAAAGTAAGAGGTTGGGAACTTAAGAGGAATTTTAAGGGAAAGTAAGGATTTGGACAAAATTATCGGGAGAACTTGGTTAAAGCAAAAAGATATTGAGGCAGACTAAGAGAAAACTTTGGAGGGGAAATTGAAGGAAGAGTTAGGGAGCTTTAAGAGATAAGCTAAGGGTGGTTTGAAGAGAAATTAAGATTATATTTGGGGGAAAGGAATGCGTTATTCAGGAAGTCTGGTGGGATTTGGATAAAATTAAGGGGAGAATTTGTGGGACATTAAGAGTTCAGATAATAGAGGTTTTGAGAGAAAGTGAGGGCTTAGGGGGAAATTGGGAGAATTTAGGAAAACCAAGACCTTTTGACCAAATCAAAGAGAATTTAAGGTTGATTAAGGGGAGGAACTTGGGGGAAACATGGGGAAATTTTATGGATCTGAAAGAATTGGAAGTTCTAAAAGAAGAATTAAGTGAGCAGGGAAGCACTGAGGAGGGGAGATTTGGGAGCAAAAGCAGGGGGACCTGGCTGTGTGTCTCACAGGAGGCTCCAGGTTCAGCCTCTCCTCCCCTCTCCTCCTCCCCAGTCCCTTCGCCTGGTGGCTCCAGTATGGAACAGGGGTACCAGCGGCATCCGTGGCCTGAGCAGGTCAGTGGACCCGGAGGGCAGTCAGAGGAAGGGGAGGACGCTGCTCCAGTTCCTGGCTGACCACTTCTATGATGTGGAGGCTGTGAGGGAGTACCTGCTCCAGAAGCAGGTGTTGAAGGTGCTCCAGAAAAATCGGT